CAGGCCTCACCCACAAATCCTGGTTCCCGCCCACAGGTTCGGCTCCGCCCACGGCCACCCCACCCTCTGGTCGGGGCTCTACGGGTCGGTGGAGGACTCAGTGCCCCTGAGCTCTAGTCTGGGCGCAACCGGGCTCCCCTGACGCCGACACCGCCCACCAGCTCCCAGGCTGCAGCCGTTGCTGCCAGGCCGAGCAGGTCCAGCGGCCCGGAAAGAGGAAAGGGGTCTGCTGCCTGTCTCTGCCCCACCACGGGCCGGGCACTGCGCAGTCGGGAGCAGGGTCGGAGCCGGACGTCAGACAGCTCTAGTCGGACTGGCAAGCCCGCGGACATTGGGGAATCTGCTCTCACGACGCTCGTCTCCGTGGGCTGACAAGGGGGCAGGGAGCAGGCCTCGCAACCCGGTCGTGATTTCCAGTGTCCTTTCACAGGAATTCGTGGATTTGAAAGGGCTGGTTGTAGTACTGGATAGGGAAAGCCAGGCAGTGGGTGCCCAAACCACCCGCAAGGATGGGCAGTCAGAGGAGCAGGACCGCGCTGAGCAAAGGAGCTCCAGAATAGATTGCTATGGGATAGGAAAAGGAAAGAGAAAATAACTTTACAAACCTGACAAGCACTACCTCTGCCTGGTGATCTGGACCAGCACCAGTGCCGATGCTTCAAGCTGATCACACACGCTCCATACAGCTGGCTGACAATGAAATTTCACTTCTGCGGTCTTCCTCCAGACACCGAGAACCTCGGCCTAATAAATGGGGAAAATTATTTTTAAAATCCCAATAGAGGGTTATCCTACAGTTTACCTGAGCAGTACTCAAGCCAGTCAAGGTCATTACAAAAAAAAAAAAAAAAAAAAAAAAAAAAAAAAAAAAAAAAAAAAAAAAAAAAGTCTGAAAAGCTGTCTTACACAATAGCCCAGGATGAAGGGGCAGAAAAAGGATATGTAAAAGCTAAGAAACTCTGAAAAAAGGATGAACTTTAGCTAATAGTAATTTATCAGTACTGGCTCATTCATCATACCATGTAATGTAAGATCTTGATAAAAGAAGTGCAAGTGCACAGTACTCTTTCCAGTTCTGCATATTTACAACTGTTCCAAAAAATACATTTTTTAAAAAAAACCTATTTGTGTAGAGTTGGTCGCCATTAGAATCAATACTCGGATAGACTATAAGGGACTTTATTCCAGTTGCATTTATTGCAAATGATAAATAGTCCCTCCAGGACTGAAAACTTAAGGGTTTTGCTTTTTTACCTTCTGTGTGATTCTAGTATGTGTCCAACATTTACTGGATTTATTGGAATCAGGAATGATAAAAACTACTTTTAAAAGCCAGCCAGGCACTAGAATAGCATAAAGAAAATGTTCTTTGATTATACCAAATATTTCAATGAAAACTGGAAGTCACCCTAAAAGCAGCAACTTAAATGTTCCCTAGGTGTGTCCGTATTACTGCAAATAACAGAAATTCATTATTTTTATGGCTGAGTAACATTAAACTCTACAGAATCAGTGCATTTTATTTATTCATCCCTACTGTACCTCATTTTATTTCATATTTTAACTCAGCAAGTATTTCATTAAACATGAAAGTACAGGTGTGTTTTTGATGTCCTGATTTCATTTCCTTTGGCTATATATATACCTACTACTAGGATAGGTGTATCACACATTAGGCCTCTTTTTAATTGTTATTCCAAATAAAAATATTCTCCGAGCCCCTGCTAAATTACCGAGTCACATCTTTAACAAGGTTTTGTGTTATCAGTCTTCTTTTTTATCACTAGAATAGCATAAAGAAAATGTTCTTTGATTATACCAAATATTTCAATGAAAACTGGAAGTCACCCTAAAAGCAGCAACTTAAATGTTCCCTAGGTGTGTCCGTATTACTGCAAATAACAGAAATTCATTATTTTTATGGCTGAGTAACATTAAACTCTACAGAATCAGTGCATTTTATTTATTCATCCCTACTGTACCTCATTTTATTTCATATTTTAACTCAGCAAGTATTTCATTAAACATGAAAGTACAGGTATGTTTTTGATGTCCTGATTTCATTTCCTTTGGCTATATATATACCTACTACTAGGATAGGTGTATCACACATTAGGCCTCTTTTTAATTGTTATTCCAAATAAAAATATTCTCCGAGCCCCTGCTAAATTACCGAGTCACATCTTTAACAAGGTTTTGTGTTATCAGTCTTCTTGATTCTAATGACTAACAAATAGAATTCACTGACATCTTAATTTACATTACCTTGCCTACTAATGTGTGAAGTATATTTTTATTTATTCCCAATTTTAGTTGTCTATGAAATAAGTCTTTTTGAAAGTTTTTTTATTGATAAAGGAATTACTGTCTATGGCCATATAACCCTGAATGTGCCCGATCTCATCTGATACAGGAATTACTTATGCTAAATATCAATACAACTTCAGTTGCATGGGTAATAAATATTTTCTCCTTGTGGCTTTCCATTTACTTTTTAAATTTTTCAATAAACAAAGTTTTTTTCTTCATTGAGTTTATTGGTACATTTTAGATATACAGTACAGTTATATACATTATTGGGATCTTGTACCTTTACATGACAGGTCTTGGTTCTCATTTTTTCCCCTTGTCCCTGCCCTCCCTTCTCCCCCTCCTCCCCTCCCCCCTTACAAACATTTTTATTTCAATTTTTTCATTTTATCCTATTTTTTCTTTTCCCTTATTACCTTTCCCTTACCCTTCCTACTTTCCCTACACCTTTAGCCCTTTTCTTCCTATTTCACATTGCCAATTATCTCATTAGGATCTTATGTACTATTATAGTTTATTCACACCAGAGAAACTATTTGGTATTTACACATGTGTGACTTATTTATTTCACTTAGGAGTATATCCTCAATATGTATCCATTTTCCTATGAATGAATCTAATTTCTCATTCTTTATGGCTGAATAGTATTCCATTTTATAGAAAAGCTACATCTTCTTTATCCAGTTTCCAACTGAAGGGCAAATGGGCTTTTTCCAAGTTTTAGCTATTACAAACTATGCCGCTATAAACATAGATGTGCATATATCACTATGATATGATTCTTTTAATTCTAAACAAAGTTTGTTAACTATAAAGTAGTTGCTATAGTTTATATCTAGATGTCCACTGAAGCCTCAAGGTCTCCTAAGGTTTTAGTTTTAGGAAGATGATTGGATTATGGGGGTTTATAGCTGACTTGCTGATAAGATGTAGGGTCTTGTCACTGTGGGCATGACCTGGAAGGGTTAGCTCCTCCTTTCACTCTCTACTTCCTGTCCACCATGCCAGGAGCAACTCATCTGCCATGCCCCTTTGCCCTGCCATCTTGCCTTGGAGCCAGCCAACTGTAGACTGAAATGTGAGCCAAAATAAACTTCTTTAAATTGCAGGTGTTCAGTAAGTATTGTGTTCCAAGAATGTGGAGAGTGACTAAGACAGGTTTTAGTACCAGTAAAAGGGACTTGTTGCTAAGATACTGCCAGACCATGTGGTTCAGTAGCTTTTGGGGAAGCTACAGAAGTTTGGACACCTTGGAGATGCTAGTTGGAGACGTCCTAGAATGCTGTGAGCCGAGATTGATGTGAGATTCTGGTCAGAGCTCATGTCAGAATTCTGATAAAGAAGCAAATGATAAAGACCAGCCTGAAGAGGTTCCCCTTGGGGAAAAGAACTCCTCTGGCAGCTGGACTCCAGATTATTTGTGTTATGCTCTGGCAGAAAATTTGTCTACATTTTCTTCATATCCTAAGACTTTGCAGGAGACTGAGTTAAGGGTGGTGGACTAATTAATCTGGCGAAAGAAATTTCAAGGCAGCCCAGCATTCAAGTTGTGATGTAGTTACTGTTGGGGCTTTTAGCCAGCTCTATATTGAAAATCAAGAGCAAAAGGCACAGTTGAGTGATTTTAAGTTTCATCAGAAAAGAAATGCCAATACATTTGGGGCCTATAAAGCTTTGGCCAAGGAAAGCTTGGTTACTGGAAAGGTTAGCGTTAAAAAGAGGCCAAGTGGGACAAGGATGTAGCTTAGTGGCACTGTGCCTGCCTGGCAAGTGCAAGGTCCTGAGTTCAGTTCCTGGTACAGAAGAGGAGGAGGAGCAGGGGGAGGAGGGGGAGGAGAAGGAGAAATAAGGAAGGAGAAGAAGGAGGAGGAGGAGGAGGAGAAAATGGGGAAGAGGAAGAAGAGGAGGAGGAGGAAGTGAAGTGCATTATATCAGGACAACAAAAACAGTATCTTGGGGTCCTAGGAATTAGCAAGACCACACCAATCACAGGCTGAAGGGAGCAAGGATATAAAGCTTTCATTTGGGAAGATAACCCCAGGGTACCATGCTTGAGAAAAACAGACAGCTCCCCAAAGCCAGACCCCCACCCAAGCGGATCTGGTACCCACATCCCCAGGAGCATAGAGATAACAAGAAGCCAGCAGCCACCCTGCAGCTCTCACCACTGCCATTTATCAGCCAGT